GAGTACCATTCTGTCAGTTTTCGTCTTCACTTTTAGTGTTTTTACTTGAAACCTTTAATTTTCGTCTAATTCTTACTTCAGTTTCACTTATTCCCACCCCGTTTACAGATCTGTTTAAAAATATCGCCAACAGCTAATGGCACAAACAACGGATTTTCTGTCCTGTCCATGCATTTCTTCTCCTCAGCACTGTCAGTCTAGGGCCCAGCGAATCGACTTTCGATGTCGATGAACGTTACTTGTAAACTTACACTCACCATTTTCTTCGAAAATATATGTGAGTTCCACAAAACATTATCTATCAGCCTATCCGAAGTCAGATATCTATGCGAGAATTGATAAAGGAGTACTATCAATTAAAACTAATTATAAATCATTATATGTCGAGTATAATATACTGCCATTTTTTAAATACCTTTTCGTTTTTCATCAGCAATAGTAATGAGTTCATATATATTAAATATATAAATGCCATTAATAGCTTGTGTTCCATACAATCGTATAAACAATTTAGAAAAACTATTGAGACCGATTTGAATACACTTTTCTTGATTATCACTAGCATCGTGGCGTTTAAGTTCGAACCATAAATTATTAAAATCTAGTGTTGCATAAATTTGATTTGTAAATGTGTCCATATCAATACAAATAATATGTTCATTATCTTTAAGTACAACTGAACATATATCAGAGTTTGATAGAACAAAACCATCATGCGTTGTTAATTGAACTATTTGCGTATTCTTGGAAAAATGTTTATTAATATATTTTTGTAATGCTTGAATAAGATCATTAATAGTTACATGTGATGTTGATTCAATAACATAGACAAATTTTAGAATTAGATTGCTTCTTTGACGATAATCATTTGATGCTTCATTCCCTAGCTGAACTTTAATACGCAGTGATGACATTTTTCAAAATACTTCTATTAATGAAAATTTCATAGTCAGATATTTAACCTGTTTTTATTTTGTTCTGCTCTGTTCTTCGCGACAAGATTGATAAACACAACAGGAGCATGCCATGACGACTTTTATTTCTTTTGTCGTCTGAAAGTTACTATGACAGCAGTGCGTATGTTTACATTGAGTAGGCACAAGACTCAATTATTTGTATGTATGATTTTAATCATAAGCGCTCTACAAAATCAAGCGACGACAAGGCATAATATTACGTTAACATGAAGGATCGTTAGCAAAACACAATTATTGTAATAAAATAGCTTAAATCACGACTTTCAGTCATTTCTTTATTCTGTATAATTGTTTTCACTGGAAGCTCAAAATATTTTCAGAGCTAATAGATCTTTTGAGAAAACGCCACATTTTGTTTACTTTTTTTTGTATGCTCAATGAGTGAGTACACTCTAGAATTGGTCACGGTGTCCGGCCGACCATAGGCACGATAACTTTCGAAAGGAGAGTCAGACCGTGATGAAATTTTCCACACAGTTCAATCTCATGAATATCTCGGTTGAGTTCGAAGATGAGAAGAATCCCTCAAGAAAT